GAGTGTTTATCAGGATCGATTCTCAAGCACCAATTCCTTTATTTTATTGACGTGCTGATCATCAATTGATGCCTATAGCCATCCTGGACTTGTTTTGTGGTCAACGCTTTCTTAACCCTCTTCGAATAATTTCTACTTATTCGCGACAAACAATTAACGCCGAATGTCTTATGGGGACAAGTTTTGAGAATTCTGACAGAACTTCAATAGCAGTTGGTAATTTGTTTTCTTTTGACTTTTGCTTCTGGCCAATGGCACTGCCAGTGCTTTTTCTAAAGCAAACTCAGTTGAAATCCATCCAATACTTCGCTAGAAAAGCTCGTCTTCAAATATTCCCAGATTGTATCCAACAGAGGAATGTACACTGGGATCCTGTAGTATTTCACATATTATCGATTTTTCCAATTACTAATTTTTGTCAGAAAATAGAAAATTTCTGGATTATATTTCTGTTATTATTTTTTCAGAGTAGTAAAATTAATAATAAGCCATTTGGCCCTTGTAAATTTCCCCCATTTTCTTTCTCTGGATCCGGCACTATATAATACTCTCCATGAATGTGGGATCGGACTACGCACGATCCAAAGAGACCTGTTTACTGTAGCGGGACGAGTTAAGCAAGAACGCATTTCATACCCAAAATATCATTCAATTTCAAGCCTCATATCCTTCGCTTTTTTAATGTTTTCATCAGTTGAAGAATTCGAAGGTCATCCAGAACGGGGAATGCCTGACTGAAGCAGCTGTTCTTAACAAATTCGTTGACAGATCGCGCTCATATTTGGCAATTTTTTTTAAGGATAGTGATAACAACTTAATATCATTTACCCGGGGAATTTCCATATAATTTCTGGGTGCTCTTTTGTTACCATGTTGAATATCTTAATAAGGAAGTATACGCTTCTGTTTTCTTATACTCAGAATAAATACTCCAATAAGGGCGTTCGAAGGCTGTAGGCTATCCTGCAAGAAAAGCACTCGTCTCTCTGTCTGATTTTCAAAGTAATATAACTTCAGAAATTGTATATTTGTGTGCAGATCTTAACTCTGGCGGATGAAACCATTAACAAAATAGTAACCGACAATTAAAAATTATTTCAACAATATTAAATTTTTGCAGAAAATTTTATTTCGGAATAATTTCACGCCACACTGTTTGTTTCTTTGGTATTCCACTGTAATTTGTATAGTAAATATATTAACAACAAAATATATTTATTTCAAAAAACTAAATTAGTTAATAAATAAATGAGTAAAAATAAGAAAAATACATTTGTATTTACTATATATATATATAAGTATATGTGTTGTTGCTGTTTTTGCTCTTTGTTTATTTTACCTTAAAACCGTATGTATATAAGTTTTAATATAGTAAATTTTACTGTTATATATTTTTTTGCTATTAAACTGTTGCGCTTTCAAATATCGTACGTATATATGTATATTACATTTTAATTGATGTCGTGTTTTGCTTTACTTTTATTTGCATGCGCATGAAATGTGCAACAGTGACGTCACACTTGTGATATACCACAAAAGTTATTGTGTTTCTATATTTTTTCTACAGCACGCGCCTTATTAATATGCACTATTTTCAGTTGCAAATTAATTTTATATTTTTATGTTTATTAAATTTGAATTTTTTGCAAATATTTTGTTTATTATTATAATTTTTTTTTTTTGTAGGTTCGGTATATTGTTTGTTATGCTGTGCAATTTGACAATATTATTGACACCGTAATCAATGCTTTTTCACCGGTTTTTTATGTTCGATTATAATATAATTGAAAGAAAATTGCCTTGTTTGCTTTAATTGCATTTTCGGTAGGACACATTCTGCCTAAGAAGTGGTGTTCTTGTGTTTATATATTAACTTTATGCTTTATTTTATTTATTTTGTATTTTATTGAATATTATTTTTTAATATTTTTTATTTTTTGTTTTTTTTTTTTAATTAAATTTTTTTTTTTTTACTTTTTATGTACATATTTTTATGTTTTGCCCTTCATTGTATATATTACTCAAATTTAAAATATTGCTTTTAAAGATATCTTACTTTTTATTTAGTTCTTCACTAAATATAATTAGGTATATATATTTATGTATAATGTAATGTAATTTACATAAAATAGCTTTCGAATAATGAACATCGTTATAGTAAGTAGTACATAAATTAGTGCTTTGTGTTTTCATATCTGAGTTCTAAACAATTTTAGTTCGCGTAGTAATAAATATTAGAATTGACTTTAGCCTTTACTTTAAAAGATACTATAAATTTAGTTTAGTAGAGTTCGAGTCGTTTAAAATGTGTGGATTCTATATTTCCAAATTTTGAAAAATAAATTTCAATATTCAAATATCGATTTTAATGTATTTAAACAATATTGTGATATTTTTCCGTGCTTAGAATATTTTTTTAAATTGGCCAAGAATTATGCTCAAATTTAGAAAAATGCCATGTGCTTTTAATGCTTCGAAGTTTTATTTACTTTATTAAGACTAATCTGTGAAGTTTTCAATTTTTGTTTAATTCTCTTACCGAACGCTCCAAAAGACTGACATTTTTTATTTTTATTATCAGAAACTGCATTCCTTCGACTATTTGAAAATTTTAATTAAATTATCGCTCCAGGCGTTTCGGAGAAGTTTCGCTGTAAACAGTATTTTAAGACAATAGCTTTTAAAGCTTAGAAGTTTCCAAAGCTTTGAGAGAAGTTTTTAAAGCATTATAAATATGGTACTTATATTCGATATGAAAGCAAAAATATCCATTTTTCGAAATTCATTATGGGTTCCAACTTTCAAAGTTCACACTAATACCTCAGAAACATTTTACGGGACGAACTTTATATTTTCGCAAACATTGTTCAAATATAAATTTTATATTCGATATAAAAGAAAAACATATTGATTTGTGAAAATTCGCAAGTGGCTATAACCCTTTAATCCATTTTTGAAAGTTAAATTTGACTTTCGCCGTGAGAAGTTTAAAAGCATTAGTTCAGCGTCATAAATTTAATTATTAGTTGCTTCAAAATTATCATACTGGTTGCCTCCAAGTTTTGAAAATATGTCAAATTTTGGTTATTTGGTACTTTTAGTTGCAAGGAAGATGGAGCTTGCGCCACGCAATAAGAAAATATTTATATGCAATAATATTACATCCGAAAAAATTAACATGCAAATGTTGTCCGATTATTTAGCGTATGTATGCCGATAGCAACTATATTAAAGTGCGAAATAGTCATTCTTTTACATTACAAATTTTAATAGTTTTGCTATTTTTCATGTGCCTGAAGCACAATGGTGGTATTTTTGTATTATTTAAATTGTGTTTAGTATTTACATAATTTAAAAGTGAATAATATATTTTTTGTGCATACTTATGAAGAGTTTTTAGGTCGACATACATTCCATAGCTTGTCTGCGCATTGATATTTATGCTCTAATTGAGATTCTTACATACCTTTCTATACAATTATGTATAAGTATATTTCACTGTATTGTTTGCAACAGCACTAATTGTATTATAAATTTACTAAATACTTTTAACTTATTTGTTTTCTCATGTAGTGGTTAAACATATTTTTACAGATTGTGTTTGTTGTATTTTTGAAGAATTTCGGTGAGGTTTTTGTTTAGTTATACATTTACTTTTTATTTGCATTGAGTTTTTATTTTTAGCAATTTTTTTTTTGTATTTTAAGAATAGTCATATTTATTTTTGTAGAGCATGATGATTTCATATACAAGGGTATTATTTGTTAGTAATAAATATTGCAAATATTTGTAGTTTGTCTTGCTATACCTTTTATTTGATATTTTAGTGAAATAATAATAAAGCTGAACCGCACATAGAATAGAAATTATCTTAGTATGATGGCATACGACACAGTGCTGTCGGTGCGTGTGCCTGTGAAAGCCCGAAGATGTGAGAGAAGTTAACATGCGTCATTAAAGTGCAACTAAGGCCGTCACTTTGCGGCACTAAAGCTAACGCTCAAGCACTTTTGTCGCAACTAACTTCGCCTAAATGTATGCTATAGGCTTGAACTTTTCCACTGTACATTTTTTTTGGCCACGTAAGGTGTGCTACACTTTGCGTTGAGCAACTTTAGACACTGCTCTAATCCCCCTATTCTAAAATATATGCAACGACAGAATATAATATCGAATTTTATATCGAAAACTTCATTCCACAACTACTTAAATATATATCTATGACTTATATATTTTTTTGCTACTAATTGTCCTAACGCCTATGTGTATACTACTGCTTTCGTCATCGTGCTCATCTTCGCAGCGCCAAAGCCATAAGGCCATGCTAATATGCAATAAGGCTAATTGCTAACTTTTTAAAACGTTTAATCAATTGTATGATTGGTTAATAANTATTTATACATAAGTGTACAAGCATGGCAGTATAGTATATAAGTTAATGTGCGCAAGTGGCACATCTCTCCTTGCATATACTGGCCCTTATCGTTTCGTACGCACGTCTACTTTCACAGAAAATAGCGTTTGCACATAAGTTTATAAACTCTATGATCTATTTAATGTTTTTTTTTTTTTTTGGTTTTTTTTTGTTTTTGGATTTTGTTATTTTGTTGCTAATTACTTAATAATTGGTGTATTCGCTTTGTATTGCTAATTGATTTCAAATTTTTATTCGCTGTCCAATTGTCGTGTACATAGTAAGTTATACATACTAATGAACGCATTTTTTCACAATATGTTTATATTACTTGTTTTTAATGTGTTTTTTTTTTTAACTATGTACTAGTATTAAAATTTTTTGCAAAAAATTATTATCTCATTTTTGTTGTCAATAAAAATTACTAAATTGCTCATGATGTAGGTTTATTATAATATTACTTTAATTAATTATTATCTTTTTTTAAAGAAAGTGTTTCATTTTTTCTTTTTGCAAGTTTTATTTTAGCAAAAGTTGCGTGAAAATAATTTTTTTAAGTTTTTTTTTTTTTTGGAAAAAATGCATTTTTATTTACGCGAAAAGTAAGTAATCTCTAACACTGAAAGTTCGGTTTAGAAAATTTAATAGTTCTTGTAAAAAACGGATTGTTTAAGTTCAGCGTAAATTATTGCAGCGTGCCATTTATGAAATTTATTTTTTTTTATTTAATTTTTGTCATTAGTTATACAAATTTTCTTCAGCGCTGCGCTGGCGTACACTCCCCTTTTCCCGTTTCTCATAAATATTATCTGTTAAATTTACAGTCCGTTTGTTTACGTAGTGTGTCGTCGTTCGTTGGCATTCGTGTCTTAACCACCACCTAAACTTAACGCCTGAACTATACGTGGATCAGCTTTACTACCCTCACGAAATTCTTCTAATGTTAATTTACCATCATGATTTTTATCCATTTGATCGAATATTTTATCAACACGTTTCTGTGGCGTATTCTCGTCCTCCGATTGCGGCTGTTGACCCTGTTGGCATGTAGCAGAAAAATATAAGAGGGAAAGAGAAGACATTAAGTGAATTAAAGAAAATTTGTAAAAGGTTTATAAAGCATAAGTAAACTGTAATTGTAATATATTATAGTTACCTCTTATGAAGTTATAACCTGTTAATCTATGATGTTTGGAAAGAATATAACCTCTTTCTAAGTTTAAGAGGTTTCATGGGTTTCCCCAGGTAAAAACAATATTTTCTCATATGAAAATGAAATTTATCAGAATATTTTATTGTTTCAATGAAATGTTTTAACAAAGAAATCCCGATATTTTTGAAAAAACAAAAATTAACTCTGATATTGATACGCCATTTCCGCTGACCCCTCGGAAAATAGATGCGCCCACGTTAAAGTGAAAAACAGAAATTCGTGTTTCAGTTAATATCTTAACTTAGAACTTGGACGAAGGAAAAAACACTGGAAATGGTATTGGGTTGTCTAAAAAGTGTTTTCGTATTTTGTCAACTTATAAGTGGAAGTTTGATTAAAAATACGAAAAGGCAAATATTTTGGGAAAAAATTATGCAAAAACAAAAATGCGGTGAAAATTTCGTGACTTTTTTTTCAAATAGTTTTATTAAAAAAAACCCTTTGTCCACATCTTTAGCAATTGTGTAAATTCCATGAAGATCGGTTGAATAGTTCTTGAAAAATCTTGCCAACTGACATCAAAAACAGTTCGAGAAGAACGCGTTTAAAGACGACGCACTAAGCCTAATTAGCCTCAAGGACACACGTTCTCAAGGCTGTACCTCCTAAACTATTACTCGGATCAACTTAAAGAACTTTACAAAAAATATTCTAGAGGTGTTGCGGAATTTAGCAAGGCAATAAAAATAATTCGATTTCTCGAAACCCGTAAACCCATGTAACCCCTTAAAAACATGCTATATATAATTGTATATATAAATATTATTTATGCTATAAGCTAGGCTTTAGAAACTTTTCTCAGTGACATTAACAAACTACGGAAGCATAGGCAGTCCTCAAAGAGATTATCATTCATCCAAGGATATTTCCTTCCATAATCAGTGACATTATGGAAAGAGTGCTACGATTACATTTTTGGGCCGCGAACAACGGAATAAGTGTAAGCCTTAGTAAAAAGGTGATGATGCTTTTCCTTACTCATTGGTTAGGAAGCATCACCGGCAGGCATTGTGACCAGCTTTAAAGAAACAATATAATATAAGGAAATGGAATACATGGGGCAGTGTGTGCAGATGTTACAAAACTATTAAATAATGTCCGACCGAAACGCTCATTGTGTTCTTGCATCAACTGCCCATAGGCGTGTTTATTCGGAAAGTAGCAGAAAATCCTGCTATTAGAATAAAGGACTTCGGAGGTTGAAACCGAAAATATTATGTATATTGCGTTATTCTGAACCAGCATACTCTTAAATAAATCAGACTAGTAACATTTTATTAGCCTTTTTCTGGTGAGGGCTAGACGTGAATGGAATGTCTTTATATTTATCTATGTCGATGGGTCAAAGACATATCTACTTCTATCCATCCGCCAATGGAGAACAATTGAATAGCTAAGGCAGGATACAAAACCGCAACCAAATTCACAAACAACCAGACAGCATTGTTGGCCTTTTCGATGCCACAAATTAATTCCAGCATAATTCCACCGAAGCAAAGTTAATACCATGCTTGCTGGGAAACAATCAAAAGATGTGCACTTTGAACAAAAAGCTCAGAGCAGCTGAGAAATAATAACAAGCTGCAAGATAAACAAGTGAGGAAGGGCTAAATTCGGGTGTCACCGAACATTTTATACTCTCGCATGATAAAGTAATAATCGAGATTTCAGGCGTGGTTGTGAACCGATTTCACCCATATTTGGTACATGTCATGACGGTGTTAAGGAAATATTATATACCGAATTTCATTGAAATCGGTTGAGTACTTTCTGAGATATGCCCATTTTCAATTAAAAAAAAAAACCTGGATGCAGCTTCCTTCTGACATTTCTTCC